TCCCCTCCATCAGAGACTTCTCTACTACATCTGTTGCATCGCCGCCTGTTGGTGTAGCGACCGAGCGGCTATCAAACTCAGGTTCTGCAGCTGGGCCTATAATAGCAAACACATCCAAACTACATTACTCATCAAGCCAATACCGGTGTTGGCTCAAATCCTCCAGCAATAGAAGCAACCGCAGCAGTAGCAGCAGTAGCCGCAGCCGCCGCAATAGCCCATTGTTGTTGTTGCTGTGCAGCGTAAGCCTGAGACCAATCCTCCCATCATAAGCCGACTAAGCTGCCTCATCTCCACCTACCGTAGGGTCCTGTGTAGGCCTCTGCTGCATTGCAGCTGCTTGGGCTGCTGCTGCCAACGAACCGGACAGGACTGACGCGAACTGATTCTGCTGATACTTCAACACCTCGGCCGGACTAACGGCGATTTCCGGAGGCGGAGCGAAGCTGAGACTAAACATTTTCCAGTTAGGGACAATACCATTCATCGTACACATTAGGAACAGCTGGTCTCATGTCAGGATACGCCCCATTAGGCATACCACTTTGCTGCTGCTGTTGCTGTTGAGGACTTGGTCGCTGCTGCATCTGGGGTGGTGTAGGAATGTGGGATACCGGAGGTAGATTATCAAGTCGATGTAACCCTGGAGGGGTAGTCGAGCGAGGAGCCTCGCCGGACTCAACAGAAGACACTTCCTCATCCTAAACATCATCATACTATCAATACCAATTTGATACATTACCTCTCCCATAGGGTTTTGCAGAGGTGTACTGCCAGGTGTTATTGAGATATTCTCCGGGCCCGAGGGTGCACCTAAGTAGATGCATCACTGATAAAGGATATATCAACGCTCTTACTCGGACGCTGCAACTCCTGTTCACCATGAGCAAACCGACACTTATCGCCCATGTCGCATTTACCTTTCTGCCACCAACTACACAGAACCTAACACCAACATAATCATCACCAACCTCTCCCTATGAAAAGCATTACAGTTTTGAATAGTCCAGGAGTGGCTTTGAGGTCCTCAGTAGAATGAGCAAATTGACACTCCTCAGCCCTGTATGGACACCTCCCCTCCAGATTAGCCTGACACATCTTCGTTTTACGAAGGTCAGGCCTGACCTGAATTTGGCTATAGTCGTGCGCGTATGTACCTGTAATTGATCTCCCATTCGAAACAGTTGCTGATTTTATTATTACATTTATCTCCGTATAGACAACAACCGCGGAGAAAGTGTTTACATAGCTTAGTTCGCAGAAACTGCTTACGAACTCCTGGAGCGACTGAGGTAACCGATAAAATGAGGCCAAACATTCGTTTTCCTATTACCTGTAAGATCTCCTCGAGCCGCACCATTGCTCGACGAGGTCGGCGTGAGAGCCCTGAAGCCAAACAATTTTTCCCGCAAAAATGTGGTATTTTTTACATAGCATTTGCTGAGGTAGTCCTTGGATGCTGATGATAATGTTTATTCCCCCCTCCTCCTCCTCCTCCTGCTGCTGATCCTCCCTTCTGACCATCACGATGACCATGACCATGCTGTTGTTGACGACGAGGTGGGTGGTACTGCTGTGCTGATGAAGGGTCAGGGTAGGGCAGGCCTGGTCCGGATAGCGTCACGTTGTTTGTGTCCCAAGTATTCATTGGAGTATATAAACTACTATGAAAGAAAGGTGACGGTATTGGTCGATAGGAGAAATAATGTCTTCGTGGAGCGGTATGGAATTTTTTAGATGATGAATCTAGTCGAGGCTTCTTTATAGTGAGGTAGACTAACGAGCCTCGAGTGAGACGATTATATACAAACAAGTAATGCAAGAATAACAATCCCGACGATTATGAATATACGGTCTAAAGTTTAGACCTAAACGGCCTTTGATTAATGTTCCTCAGCGCAAACTGTCATACATTTCCCCATAGAGATGTAACAAGGAGATTTCACAATACGATTCTGAGGAGAGATGTGGCTCCGGCATATTACAGTTATGGGAGGTAACAGTTCTCGCAGAAGAGATCACCAGCACTATGCAAGAAGAAATTGAACTCCGCCTGATGGGCAACATAATGCAGAAGGAGGCGCTGATGACGCTCTATATCCTAGCACAGTTTGAGGGTCATTTTTAGGGTTACGAGAGATGAGAGATAGAACAATGTACGAATCTCAAGGAAGCAAGAGTTACACACGAGTTCAGCGCAGTTTCGTCCGCGCTCGCCCTAATATAAGACGGTCCCGATTGAAAACGGTGCGGTGAAGAGCGAGAAAATTCGAAAATGTGACGTTTTTACCCAGTTACCAGGCCGGACGAAGGAAGAGGTAACCAAATGGTGCTTATTATGGCCACCCATGGCCTTGGTATCATCGGTTTCACACCCACACGGCATAGGAGGATCAATTCCTCCGGGCTGGGGCAGCTATGCCACCCCAAGATATGCCTTGGTATAATCGATTTCACACCCACACGGCATAGGAGGATCAATTCCTCCGGGCTGGGGCAGCTATGCCACCCCAAGATATGCCTTGGTATAATCGATTTCACACCCACACGGCATAGAGATCAATTCCTCCGGGCTGGGGCAGCTATGCCACCCCAAGATATGCCTTGGTATAATCGATTTA